GAATATATTCAGATTTTATTTTCGTACCTCATAATATTTATCCAAATTTTATATGGTTGGATAGATCTTTAAATTATCTTTCCAATGATATATTTTAATATTAAATCCGAGTTAACGAAAAAGATATGAATGAGACATGAAACTTTATCCAAAACTGATACCCTTCCACTATTTTGGCCATATCTTTTATATACAAAATATTTTAATCTGATTCTAATTGGGTTGGAAATTAGACTTTAAGAGCTTTCCAACGACATATTATATGCCTGATTTGGACTTTCGGATCAAAATATATGATAAAAAAAAAACGCGTTAAAAACGGGCCTGGCGCCTGACTTCAGGCATTGGCGCCTGGAACCAGGCCTGGCGCCAGCCATTGGCGCCTAGCGCTATCCATTGGCGTCTGGCGCCAATGGCCAATACGTGCGCCAGACTCTGTTTTGTTAATTTTATCTTTTTGGCTGATTTTCTCTATAAATAACGTATTAAAACTCCGTTTTCATTCACCAACTCTCATCAAGATTTTCTTGATTATTCCCTCTCTCTTTCTCTTTTCTAAACTTTGTTTTCAAATACAAAATTCCGCATTCGCAAGTCTTAGATACACCTAGCCATATTCGAAGTTGCCTTCGCCCTAGACGTGAAAGGTTTTAATTTCTGAGGGTTTGGTCCCAAATCTCTCTTTCAATTATTTAATTTAATTGTTTTGTTTTATTATTTTCCTTGAAGTTACTAACGTGTGTATTTTGTAATTAGAAAGAGGTACGAGGCATCAAAGTAAGTACTTTAATGTTTTGATTGATGTTATGATGTAGAAATCATGTTTACATTGTTATTATGATATTCCTAGTATCATGTCTAGGGTAATTTTAATATTAAATATGATTGTTACGATGCTTCCTATATTTTTCCTAATATTTATGATTGCTAGTATCATGTTAGGGCTAAAGACTTGATTTTTATTGCTTAGTGACATGCTAGGGTTTGTTATTAATCTTGTTAGTATCATGCCTAGGATCTTGCTATTATTATTATGCTTTAATATTAACATGAACATGATTATGATTATAATTGTTTTGATTTATGATGATATTATTATTTTGATTATTTTATTTATGATGGTATTATGATTATTATAATTATTATTCATGATTGATTATTTATTATGTTGCTTGACATTTATTGTTATTGCTTGATCACGCCTTTTATGCATGTTTAAAGGGAATTGGTACTTGTAATCACGCTTAATGAGATAATTAATAATCTTGTTAGGGTTAATTGTGGTTATAATTCAAGTGATCGCCAATAATAGTTTATTTGTGCATTAATATTCAACCAACATAGATTAAACAGGTTTAGGGGTAATCCTAATTATTGCATGTTAATTAGAAAGCGCTTATGAATACGATCAGAATAAAGTAGAGGCCTATTATTAGGGCATGTTCAATCTCTTTTAGGTTGGATTTGTACCTTCATCCCCGAACCCTTATTTGGTTCATGACCTTATGGAGTTGACGATCTCTTAGATCGTTTAGGGGTGTAACCTTCACCTCGTGAATGATTTACATGTTCCTAAAAAAACTTGTTGGCGACTCTTTTGCTCTATCTTCTTCCCTTTTGGACGCCACCGTACTTTAGTGTATGATCACAGTGGGGTTCAAGCTAGTGGGTTTAAAGGCTTGAAAATATTCCCTACAGGTACCCTACCCGGTATCCGGATTTAATGGGGCTTCAACTTATCCAGACGGGAAGGTAACACTTCTTGTCACCATCGGCTGTGATGAGGCAGCCAGGAACGTCATGACCGAATTCTTGGTCATCGACGCTCCTTCTATGTACAACGTGATCATGGGGAGACCCATTATTCACGAGATCCAAGGGGTAGTCTCGACGTACCATCAGCTGATGATCTATGTCTCGGATGCCGCCTACCCCGAAAGGATCGAGGGCAGTCAAAAGGAGGCCCGAAGGTGCAACTACCTCAAGCCATCCACTATTCGTACAAAGGAGGATGACGAGGATGAGGAAGAGAAAGACAGGCAGCCGAGCGCGAAGAAGCTGAAAGGCCTAAGTGCTTCGGCCCAAGGAGACCTGGCCAAAGAAAAAGGGCCAGGAAAAGAAAAGGCTAGCTCGTCATCTGAGCCGAAAGACTCAGAGAGCCAGCTGAAGAAGAAAAAATATGGGACCCCTGCTGACAAGACAGCAGGCCAGAAAACGAAGAGTCCAGCCCCACGCCAATGGAGCTGGGCCAGCAGACCGAAACGGTCGAGTTTACCGAAGGAGACGCCGAAAAATGCGTTATAATCGGGCTGGATCTTGATCCGAAAGTCTGCGTTGAACTCATCCAACTCCTTCGGGACAACCGAGATGTGTTTGCTTTCTCGGCAGCTAACATGCCCGGGATAAGCCCAAACCTCATATCTCATAAGCTTAACGTCGACCCAACGTGCCGACCAGTTAAGAAAAAGAAGCGGAATTACTCCGCAAATAAGAACCGAGACATCGCAGTCGAGGTCAAAAAATTGTTGGATGCAGGATTCATCGAACCCTGCCAGTATCCATAATGGCTGGCCAATGTGGTGATGGTTCAGAAGGCAAATGGCACCTGGAGAATGTGCGTTGACTTCACGGACCTAAATAAGGCATGTCTGAAGGATTTCTATCCCTTGCCGAGGATCGATCAGCTAGTCGACTCGACAAGTGGCCATGCCTTGCTTAGTTTCATGGACGCATTTTCTGGGTATCATCAGATCTTCATGCACCCCGACGACCAAGCAAAGACGGCATTCGTCACGAACACCGGGATGTACAATTACAGAATGATGCCCTTCGGATTGAAAAATGCGGGGGCAACATATCAAAGGCTGGTGGACCAACTTTTCGCTGAGCAAAAGGGACGAAACATGGAAGTCTACGTTGACGATTCAATCGTCAAAAGCGAAAAAGATGAAGACCATGTTAGGGACCTGGCGAAAACTTTCGCCACACTAAGAAAGCATCAGATGAAGTTGAATCCGAAGAAGTGTGTCTTCGGCATGAAGTCAGGGAAATTCCTTGGGTTCATGGTCAGCAAAAGAGGGATTGACGCCAATCCCGCTAAGGTGCAGGCAGCGCTCGACCTCCTTGAGTCAAAAATAAAAAGGGATGTTCAGCGGCTCACCGGAAGAATGGAAGCCCTCTCGAGGTTCATCTCCAGGGCCTCGGATAAGGGGTTACCTTTCTTCAAAGCCCTGAAACTCTCGAAAACAAAAGAGCTCGTCTGGGAGGACGAGCAAAGAGAAGCCTTCAAGCAGCTTTGGGAGCATCTAGCTCAACTTCCAACACTGGCTAGCCTAGTAGAGGGAGAGTCCCTGTACTTGTACGTGGCTGTCAGCCCAGCCCCCATCAGTGCAGTGCTGTTGAGGGAAGAAAATAAAACACGGCAACCGATCTACTTCGTCAGCCACGCTCTGACAGACGCCGAGACCCGCTACCCCTTACTCGAAAAAGTTGCTTATGCAGTGGTGGTAGCCGCTCGGAAGTTGAGACCCTATTTTGATTGTCATCATATAGTGGTCTTGACTGATCAGCTGCTGGAAAAAGTTCTCGGTAAAGTTGAAAAAATCTGGTAGGCTGGCCAAATGGGCTTTTGAGCTCACAGAGTTCAGCATCAGCTACCAGCCGAGAGCAGCCATAAAGGCTCAATCTCTGGCAGACTTCCTAGCCGAATGCTCGTACCAGGAGACACTAGACGATGAAAAGAAAACCTGGACCGTTTTCACGGATGGATCCTCCACCATGAATGGTTCGGAGGCAGGGGTGGTTATAACCTCTCCTGAAGGCAAGTCCTTTGAGTATGCACTAAAATTTTCCTTCAAGGCTTCGAACAACGAAGCCGAATATGAGGCGGCCATTGCCGGCCTAGAATTGTGCATCTCGCTGGAAGCCGAACATGTTTGTCAGAAAACAGACTCTCAGCTAGTTGCATATCAGATTGGTGGCAGGTACGAGGCCAAAGAGCCCTCGACGATATCATACCTTGCCAAGATCAAATCAGTTATCGCAAAGCTGAGAACTTTTGAAGTTCAGCTGATCCCAAGGGGTCAGAATGCAAAAGCCGATGCACTCTCCAAACTTGCTAGTTCAACTCTCACTGAGCTGAACCAATCTGTTTATGTGGAGGTGCGCCGAGAAAGAAGTGTCGACGCAGCACCTGAAATGTGCTGCGTCGACCAGGAACCAAGCTGGATGGATCTCATCCTAGCTTTCAAGCTTCGGGGAGAAATTCCCGAAGACAAAATTCTGGCCTCCAAGTTGAAGCGAACCGGATCAAGGTTCATTGTCTTCAAGGGGGAACTGCTGAAGAAATCCTTCTCAGCCCCGTTGCTGAAATGCGTGGGGCTGACAGATGCAGATTATATCCTTCGGGAAATCCACCTCGGCATATGTGGGAACCACATTGGGGGAAGGAGCCTAGCCCACAAAGCATTAAGGGCAGGGTACTATTGGCCCACCAAGATCTCAGACGCCAAGGAGCTGGTCAGAAAATGCGAAAAATGTCAAAAATTCGCACCAGTCATCCATCAGCTAGCCCAAGAGCTTCAGCCCGTGCTGAGTCCGCTTCCATTTGCTCAATGGGGGTTGGATATCCTAGGCCCATTTCCAGATGCCGCATATCAGAAAAAGTGGCTAATAGTCGGTGTCGACTATTTTAGTAAATGGATTGAGGCCGAAGCAGCCTCGAACATTACGGACACTAGTAGAAAAAGGCTCATTTGCGTCGCCATATTTGCGTCACTCATTCTAAAGAACGGAGCAAATGTGTATTTTTACCCTCCTTTAAAGTTATTTGCGTCGCTTGTTATTAAAGAAGCGACGCAAAAAACAAGTTTATGTTAGCTTTCTATCATTTGCGTCGCTCCTATTTATTGAAGCGACGCAAATAATAAACTTATTTGCGTCACTCATTTACTGACAAGCGACGCAAATAAGGCAGTGAATAAATTGCGTCACTCCTTTAATAAATGAGCGACGCAAATAACAAATTTTCAGCATTTCAGATTTTGTTATTCGCGTCGCATTTTTATTATAAAGTGACGCAAATAACTCTGTTGCACTTTAGGTTATTCTTTTTTACCTTAGCTTTTCACGCCTACCTTTCACTAATTCACTAAACATAAAGAAAAAAAAAATTGCAACAAATTCAACATCCAAAATCGACCCTTCAATCCAACAAATTCGCCCAAAAAACACCCACAAATTCGCCCAAAAAACTGCAATTCCCCAGCAAATTCAACATCCAAAATCGCAATCAAGTTCAACACCCATAATCGGCAGCAAATCCGAGCAATTTCGAGCAAAAATTTAGACCAAAAACCCTAATTAATTAGAATCCTTAAACCCCAGAAAAATTGATTATTTTCGACCAAAAATCCCCCATTTCGAGCAAAAAATGTACTCAATTCCATACGAATTCGAACCCTAGAAACCCCAAAAAATTCAATTAAAAATCCTGCTGAAAAATTCGAGCAATAACTGAAATTTTCGAGTGGAAAATTCGTTGAATTTTCGCCCCCAAAAACCCGAGGAAGTTCAAGCAAATTACAGCAATGTTGAATTTTTGAATTTTTGAGTGGAAAAATCGCTTAATTTCGTCCCCAAAAATCGATTTCGGCTCGACATTGTTGAATTTTTGAAATCAAGTTCACCTATGGTAAGATTGCTTCTATTTATGTTCAATCTTTTGATGGTAGATAGAATGTAGCATTTAACTTGAACAATGACTTAGTTTAATTTCAAGTTTAGTGTTAGTTCACTAATTAGAAATTATATGGCAGATTTAATTGAATTTTTATAATTTCAGTCATAATAATAATTATAATACACATAATAATAATTAAGAACACAATTACTAGGTCATCTGATAATGGAATACACATAATAATTCTTGGCTAATTGCATTGAAAATTGGAAATGTATGTACTTAAATTGACTGATAAATTGCCCAAGAGAACTTTCTTGGAATAATTATGGATGGGTGTACCCAGAATTCCGCTTTTGCCGTCTTTACATATGGTAGGATAATTTAATTACTATAACTCCGTTACTGCAATTTGAGCATATAGCCTGTTAAACACCCAAACAAGTGAAATAATTTTCAGTTACAAAATTCAATTTACAGAATACTAGAAATAATCATGCATGTAGATGTTGCATGTGATAGTAGTGTAGGAAAATTAATCAAAACTTGGTTGTTAATTATGGGTTTAATTATTTTAACTGGTGGGTATTTGAAGGGGCAGAGTTTTATATACTACCAAGTATGCCACAAATTTCAGTTTCAGAACTGATGCTTGTAAAAAGTGTGCTATGTTGGGTTGATAAAACAGTGGCTCTAAGCGTGGAAAAATGGTTAGCTTTATATTTTCTCCATTACTTTATAAAAGACTAGGAACTTGTTGAGTCCCTTAGGTTTTGAATGATGGTTTTGAATGATGACAAACAGCTATGGGAAACAGGTTTTAATAAGTGTTGAAAACAGTTGGTTGGAACCAGCTATAATAGAACACTGTTTCCCTAGATAAGTTATTGACTATATGAGTTATCTATTGAACTAACTTATCTATATACAGGAAACAGTTAGATGATAAATGTGCTATGTACTGGTGGGGAACCAGTATGAACCGTTTCCTCGACTGCTATGCGGAAAAGCAGTCACTTACTTTATATTGTGCATTAACCTTGTTGAATGTGCAGTATATAAGTTGATTCCAAGTCTTGAAGCAGATAGGACTTTCGAAGAGATTGAAGAAAGATCCATTGGTTACAATTGAGGTTATTCAAAGAAGGTTTTCAAGACTTGAAGTTTACATGAAGGAAGACTATATCACAAAAGAGTTATTTAGGATCTTCATGTAAATGCTCCGTAGTATAACTTATATAATTGAGTATATAAAGTGCTTTTAGTATATTGAGTATCGTTATGAAATTTGGTACAAGGTTTGGAACAAGTTTCATAACATATTCAGTTCAGGGAACCAGGTCAGGGAACCAGGTTAACTGAACAGATTATTCAAGCTGCCGTTTCACAAAGATTTTACAAAAAGGATAATTTCCGAAAAATATTGATTTAAAATATATCCAAGCAGCTAAGAATAAGATAATATTTTTGGTTAGCTAAAAACTAGGAAGTATTTTATCCTAAATTGATTTTATCTTGTGATCAAATCAATTAAGATAAATACTTACCATAAATCATATATATCTTATATGCATGATTTAAGGTAACTAGGGTTTAACTAACCAACCTATAAAATACATCTTATTCTGAATAATCAGATATACATCTCTCACGAATTAAAAGAGTTATTATTTTGAGAGCTTAAAGCACTAATTCAATTATCAAGTCATATACAAGAGCATTCTAGTACTTAAATATTTTCTCTTAATTAGCTTCGTAGAAGTGAGATCAAAGGAGAGTTCTTGATTCTTGTATTGAGTCTTTAACAAAGGGGTTAAAGGCTGGGTGAGTGTTTGTGAGTTCAAACACATTGGGCTTACGAGTGTAAGTCGAGAGCACACTCGGAGTAGAGTGTGGGGTTTGCTGGTTCCCGGAGTAGGGAAACAGCAGAGTGTTCTTTGTCTTTGTTTTTCGGAGTAGATTAATAAAGAACTTAGGATAGGAGGACGTAGGCCTAAGTTGGCTGAACCTCGTTAAATTTGTTGTCTTCTTTATTGCTTATTTATATTCCGCTGCATAAGGGAACCAGCACAACTGGTCCCTTAACCATAATTCGAAAAGAAGCAAAATTAGCCAACGATTACTTAACACTCAATTCACCCCCCCCCTCTTGAGTGCCCATTGAACCTTCAATTGGTATCAGAGCCTAAGCTTCTCGAAAGAGTAACATCTAGAGGAGTTAAGAATGAGTACTCAAGAATTAAGTGCAATCGGTTATGACAACAAGTCACCCAAGTTTAATGGAAATAATTATGCTTGGTGGAAGAACAGGATCCAGAATGTTATCATGGGTATTGATTATGAATGCTGGCTCGTAGTTAAAAATGGTCCTAATATCATTCTCAAGACAGATGTTGAGGGGAACCAGGTTCCCAAGAAAGATAGCGAATTGGTCACTGCTGATTACAAGTTGCTGGAGAAGAATGCTAAGGCAATGTCAATACTACAACAAGCAATAGGTGAGACCGAAACAAATCGTATATCTGGCTGCAGTAGTGCTAAGGAGATATGGGACACCCTTGAACTTGCGTTTGAGGGAACCAGTGAGGTAAAACGGTCTAAAATTGATTTAATCATGTCTAAATATGAATTGTTTGCCATGAATAAAAATGAAAAAATCAATGATTGCTTTCGTAGGTTTATGACTATTGTAAATGATCTTAGATCTCTTGGTAAAAATTTATCTGACGAGGATCTTGTGAGAAAATTATTGCGTAGTTTAACAGATGCATGGACAGCCAAGGTAACAGCAGTATACGAAGCAAAGGATCTGTCTACCTTATCTCTGGAACAGCTGATTGGTTCCCTTATGACTCATGAGATGCTGATTGACTCTAAGTCTCAGAAGGAACCAGCCATAGGCATGGCGTTGAAGGGAACAGTAGAGGAAGAAGAAGATGAGATTAGCATGATTGCTAAAAGATTTGAGAGATCTCTTCGAGATCAAAGAAAGAATTTCAAAGGTAAGCATTTTAAAAACTATAAAAAATCTAACTCTAATTCTTCTTCTACAGGATGTTTCAAGTGTGGAGAAAAAGGACATCTTATTCGAGATTGTCCTAAGTGGAATGACAAACAGTCTAAATCCGGAGATAAACAAGCATACAAGAATGCCATGATAGCTTCCATGTGGGGAGACTCTGACTCAGGGTCAGATGAAGAAGAAGGATCACCCAACTCAGATGTTTGCCTAACTGCCTTTACAAACATCAAGGAAAACAGCACTGGTCCAGGAACCAGAGGGGGAACCAGTACATTCAACAAATGCTTTATGGCAAAGAAGGATGTACTACATGAACGCAAGGTAAGCTTAGAGCAAATTAGAGAAGATATGCATGAATATGATAGAGAAAATATGCTTGCTTGTATTGATTCCTTACTAGATGAATGCTATAAACTAAGTGAAACATACATAACTTGCAAAAGAGAATTAAAAGAAAAACGTGGTGAATGTAATATTGCTATTGCTAGTTGTGATCATCTAGAAGGAGTCTGTTATTAACTAAAAAATCAAGTAGCAGAACTAGAGGTTGAATTGGACAAGTGTAAAGTGGAACTAGAAAAGGAAAGATCGTTTGAACCAATTGATGGTGAAGAGGATCTGACCTCCTGGTTCCCTAGAGACTTATCAACCACTAGTGATACTCTTGATTTTTCAGTAGCTATAAGTAAAGCAAATTCGTGTACTAGAACTTCCTTGTTGAAGGCCTTTGAAACATTGGCTTACAACCTGGAAAACTCTCACAAGGAAATTGCTTCACTTAAAGCTGCACAGTTCACTGTTTCCCCTACAGGTACCAGTGTAGATGTTAGTAATACGATTGATAAGTATGAAAGTAATATTTGTGATTTGCATGCGGAAATCAATCAACTGAAAAAGGACAAGCAACTAGTGGTTGTTGACATGTCTATTGACTCTATGGTTTCAAAGCTTAATCTACAATTCGAAGCTTTAAAAAGTAACTTTGATTTTCTTAAAGAGAAAAACGAATTGTTAACTAAAACACTTGAAACCAGAGAAAAAGAACTTAATGATAGTCATAGACATGTGGACAAATTATTGAATGCTCAAGAATCCTTAAATTACCTGACTTCATCAAGAGGAAACAGAGGAAAAGTTGGTCTTGGTTATACTAGACAGAGAACCAGGACTAACTGGTCTCCTAGAGAAACCACCTGGATCAAAGAATATCAACGAGGCAAGTATGTCATGACTAAAGAGATGCATGTGTGTTTTCATTGTGGTAAAAATGGACATAAGATACATGAATGTCCAGCTAAGAAAATTAGTGCTAATAAGAACAGCAAGGGTGTAAAATATGTATGGAGAAGAAAGGATCAACAAGATGTTAATGTTGTTGAAAAGGGACCCAAGTATGTTTGGGTTCCTAAAACTAATGTTTGATTTGCTCTTGCAGGCTAGAGTGAAGGGAGACACCTATTGGTATTTGGACAGTGGTTGCTCAAGACACATGTCCGGGGATAAAGATCAATTCCTTTCACTAGTGGCCTTTGATGGAGGAAGTGTCACCTTTGGGGATAACAGCAAGGGAACCATCACTGGTTTAGGTAAGGTTGGTAAGACACTTTCTAACGCAATAGATGATGTTTATTATGTTGAAGGCTTGCAACATAATCTCTTGAGTATTTCTCAATTATGTGACAAAGGTAATATAGTTGAGTTTCAAGCCAACCTATGTCACATAGTTAACTCACAAACAGGAGAACTTGTATGTGAGGGAACCAGGAAGCATGATGTTTACATCACCTTCTTAGATAAAATCCCTCAAGACAAGTCCATCTGTTTGAGAGCTGTTTCTGACAATAATCAATGGATTTGGCATAAGAGGTTTGGACATGCTAGCCTAACACTTCTAAACAAACTTAAAACACGTGACTTAGTTGTAGGCCTTCCTAACATTAAGTATGAAGCTGATAAAGTTTGTTCTGAATGTGTAAGGGGGAAACAGGTC